CGTCCGACATGGGCTCGCCCAGCGAAGAGGCTCGCGCGCGCAAACTCTCCTCCACCTCCTCCAAACGCTCCCAGAAGTCGTCGAGCAGCGCATCGGAGCTCCACCGTGCCGCCTCTCGCGTCGGCATGCGCCGACAACACGGCCCCGACCTCTTCTCCGACGATGCGCCTGCCCCAGCAACGGCAGCGGGAGGAGCGCGCGCGTACAGCCCATCGGTCAGGACCGAGGCTTCCTCCTCCTTGACCGCCTCCTCTGACCGATCGAGAGCATTGTACAGTCAGCATAAACGCACTGACGACGCAGCTATGGACACGCTCCGTCACCAGATTGAGAATCTCGCTGCCGGGCGTGGAGGTCCCGACTTTGCCAAGCGCCCGCCCGCATCGGCCTCGATGCGAGCCCACGCGCAGCTGGCTCCCGCACGGTCGTCGCTGGATCTCAGATCGCCGCCGCTCGGCTCGGTACGCGCCCAGTCGGTGCTCGGCCTGCACAGGTCGCCGATCGACGCTCTTCGGTCTCCACACCTGCCACAGCACCCTTCAACAGATCCTCAGCCCTTTCGCTACGATCGCTCCTTCCCCTCGGCCGACCCGGCCCACTCGTCCGACACGGCTCAGCGCCTCCACGACCTCGTCGCTCTACGCGCCGCCACGAGTCCGCGTCTTGGCGTACCACAACGAAGCGCAACGGCCGTAGGTACGGCGCACGAGGACCATTTTGCAGGGGACCGACTTGCACGACAGGTGGAAGAGCCGGCGCCGATCCGCAACCTCGCCGTCCGTCTGGCTCAGTACGAGGCACTTTACAACAAGGCGCCGGTCGACGCAGAAGCGGGAACCACGGCAGGCCCCCACACCACTCGAACGGTAGAGTTGCTCGGGGCGATTGTCAGAGGCACATCGACGATGTGGGCCGAGCTGTCGGCGTTGCACCCGATCGCCACGGAACAGCACCTACTTGGCCAGCCGGGAGACGGAGCTACCGAGGCATTTGGCCAGCTGGACGAAGGACTGGCATTTGTCAACAAGCTCGTCCTTGAGCAGGCACGCGCCATCCAGGACCTGCTCTTCTTGCTCGATCGCACTGAAAAGGAGCGCCAGGCACAATTCAACCAGGCACTCGTCGAGATGGGACACTCTCCACGTCCATTCTCGCGCATCGGCGCCGGAGTGGCTGAAGCAGGTTCGGATGCACACCTGCTGCGTCGCGCAAAGTCTTCGATGCGGCCAGGTTCGAGCTTGCATACCGAGTCGCCTTCCTTGCATGCCAAGCCTTCACGCGGCGCGGGCAGTGCGGAGCGCGGCAACACGCTGACGGCGTCGCAGATCCGGTCGATGACGTCGCTGGGACACTCGACGAACCATGCGAGGTCGACGTCCGAGCTGTCGCCGTCTTCTGCGGCGGCACAGCGGCGCGTGGAACGTCTCAAGCTGCCGAATGAGGGGTCGCAGGATTCACCGCTGGCGTCCAGACGCAGCGTCAACGGCCGGCCATTCCCAGCGAGAGAAGCGCCGCAGATGGCAACTGGAGCAAGTGCGGGTGCTACAGGCACAGCCCGTGCGCCGTTGGCGTTCACGCCGCGCCGACCGCGACTGAGCAATCCTTCGATCTCGAATGCCACTGCCTCGGGCCAGCCGGCGTCGGCGGCATCGACTGCATCGGCGTCGAGCGTCGAAGCCTCG